TTTTTTGTGGAACTGGGGATTGAACTCAGGCCCTTGCGCTTACCAAGGAAGCGCTTATTCCACTGAGCCATCTCCAGGCCCCTTGACAGCTTTCTTACATAAATGCTTAAAACAATTTTTTTTGTGTGAGCTATCTGGATAGGCCACATGCATACACTTGAGTCTCAGCAGACTTATCGAGCAGCTTTGATATTGGTTATTCCCCCAAAAGCTCCCTCCTTATGTTACTATGAGATCTAGACCTGAAGGCAGAAAATTATATGACCCAAAACTGAAGAAAAAAATACATACATGTTTTTAAAAAATGACATAGAAATGTACAATAGTTACTCTGAAAGGGAAAGAATCTGTTCAATGGGAAGGAAAAACTTGGAAGAGAAAGAAAACAAAACAAAGAAGGGAAAAAGATATATTTACATATATATGCAGGATAGTGTGGATAATTATACTGCTGATTTCTGGTCTTTGGAAAGGAGCAGTTAATGCTTAAGTTTTCTGTCTTTTTTTTTTTTTTTTTCCTTTGAACTTCTTATAACTTTTTTTTTTTTCTTAACCAATTTTTCAGGTTTATATCTGGTAACCTAAACAACTAATTTGAAGATAACATCATGCAACATAGCACCCATTGTTGAATTCCTATTACTTTGCTTAATGAAATCTTGTAGTTTTTCATGCTTTTTTACTATTTTGTTTTTCAAAAACATAAGGACAGATTACTCTAATTCAGAACTTTAAGTTTGTGCTTACATTAGAATACAGAAAGAAAAAAGTTCTACTTTGAATTTTATTTTTTCTGTGTCTCTTGAAAGATGACTTTTCTCTTAAATATATGCTACCCAAAGAACTTCTTTTATATGGCTCATCCTCATTTTTAATCTGCAATGATCATTTTTATAAATTGATGCTGGAGATAAAAGAGGTTTATTTCTTCAAGGGTTCTTTCTTTGCAATACATAAAGTATGCAATAACATGTATGTACCTCCAGCTTTGAAATTTTCTGGCCCATGATATCCGAAGTTAAGAAGCCACTGTTATTTTCACTTAGTCACATAACTTAATTGTAAAAGTGTTAATAACATGAATGAGTGCCAGTATATTTTCTCAAAAATGTAACAAGAGATGGAACTGTTCCCAAATAAAGGCATGCAGAACTTTGTGCTCACCTTTCCACCCAATCTCCATCTTGGCAGTACCTCCACTTGTGAATAGAGTTAGTGTCAATTTTTCTAGAGCTCTGTACTACTGACAACTTTCCTAAACTAAATTCTTCAATTGTTAATAAGTTTTGGCATGATTATTTACAACTTGGGGATCAAAAAGATATGCTAGAAAAAAATCAAGCTAAGAGTTAGCTGACCAAGTTGCATAATTTCACAGCCAGTAAATCACCTTGTTTTATAGGAATTGTGCCTTTTTGGGTCAAACTAGTTTTACTGATTAAAAGGTTATATTGTAGGAATGAAAATACTTTTCCTAGCCTCACAGTTTGTGAGAATAAAATGAAAGACAATCTTTTTCTCTTTGCCTTTTCCTAAAGGCCCACTGAAAAAAATCTGTGTGGATTTTAACTAGAGTTAGATACTTCACACAAGCCTTTTCTAGGGCTCTGACAATTCAGAAAAAAAGCCAATAAGCTGATTAAAGAGTTAATAAAGCAACAAAGAGCCAGAAGCAAGAAATCAATTGTTTGAAAAGATGAGCAGTGCAGCCAAAATAATGACCAACAATCCTTCCCTTCCTGAGATGAGGAAAGAATGAATAAGAACTTCCTGAGAATGAAGCCTACTAAAGATGAAATTTTCTGTGATCAGTTTTTTGAAAAGAATCCTAAAATATCTAATGATGTTTTATGAAGTGGTTATTTTATATAACTTGAGTCCTCTACCATTATGAAATATATGAAATAATATGAAATTATTATCTTTCAAGAAAAATATAAAACATGGACTCTTGAGTAGATGCTAATTAGTAATCACCACCACTACCACTACTTCAGACCAATTCATTCCTGACAGACAGCCTAAGAAAATAGAAGAGCTTATCTTTATTATCCTTCTTACCTGGCCATGGGTATCACCTGCAGATTTGCCAGCCTCAAACTTTAAAGCCAGCCCAAAGTCAGCAATACAAGCTGTCAGATTGTTTTTCAACAACACATTTTTACTTTTGATGTCCCTTTCAAACAGAAAGATAAAGGATTAAATTAAATTTAAGCAGGCTATATTTCAGAAATGTTTATTGAAAGTGGAAAAGAGAACATGCTATAAAAGAATAGTTACTTTAAAATATGAAATGCAAAGAAAAGAGAAATGAAGCTTAGGCAGAGCACAGAAGTAGAGTGACAAACTCCCATCCGCAATGTACACAGTAAGACTCGCTCTATAACGCAGTTTTACGAAGAACTGCCATTCCAAAAATACATCATCTGTCACTCAATACATGTTATTATCTATGTCACTCCCACATAGCAATCATAAAATTTCTGTTTTTTAAGAGAATACTTCAGCATTTATAGTTGAAACTCCCATAGAAAATGAAATTTTCAAAAAATGAAAAATCTTTTCTAAAATATCTGAATTCGTGACTTTTGTCCATTGACATAAACCTACATTTTAAAATGTCCCTTACCATAGAGGGTCATATGACCTGGTTGTAGAGAAGTATATCTAGCAATACATAATGCACACAAAGTTTTTACCTTACACACCTACTGTTCAAGCTATAGCCCAGTGTTCTGAATAGGATAACTTTTAAGGCAGCAAAATACAATCTGCACACTTGCCTAAAACAGTTCATGCCAGAAATTACTGTATATCAACTAATTACAACTATGCCATGATGCATGGTTATATTTATGTGTACAGTCACAGAGACCAAGAGTATAAAGAAGAGGGAGAGGAAAACAGAAACACTACAAAAACCACGGTCTCAAAAAGTTTTCAGAGCCCCTACTCCTAATACCTTTTCTTTGGGTGTGACGGAATGCAGGATTTATTTCCTATTAGAAGACAGACTGCATGCAGGAAAGTGAGAATATACAGCAGGGGGGCTATTTGTGAAGCAGAAATCTTAAAAGGTTTGCAGTGAGAATCTGCATTTTTGAGGCAGATTTAAAGTAATGCCTCCTAACAACCTACAGCTATCAGACTCACACTCAACTAAATACCTGTTCAGTGAATCCACTAAGGCCTACTTGTAAAATAAGCACCTTTAAAATGAATACAAATTGACAACTTGAATCCTATGTCCAACGAAGTTAAATACACAGCAAGCTGAATCCATGTTTAAGGAACATTATTCCTTTTGAGGGGATGGCAACTGTTGAAATCTAGGTACTATTTCTTCATTATGAAACTGTTTGAATGATACCACTGTCTAGCTCAGCTCAGTGAAAGAATATATGATCATTTAAAGAAATTTTTTAAAAAACCCTCAAGATTTCTGCTTAACTGTATCTCTGTAACTATTCATAATTATCTTTAAGTAAATGATGTTTTGAGTTAAAACAAATTTCTTTTTCTTTTAGGTAAATAAAACACACTTTCATTTTCAATACTTTCAGAAATGAGAAATCAAATCATATGGACATGATTAAACTTATTAATAATGTTAACATTCACTTTCCATAATGCTTCAATCTCAAAGCTAATTTAAGAAACAAATGAAAATTTGTTTTCATTTGAGAGCATGACTGAACTGCTAAAGGGAATACAAATTTTACCAAAGGGATTTAATAAGAGACACACTCTGATTTATACAGGAAAACAACATAAATTTTGCTCTACCTGTGAGATATTGCAGGTTTGTGGCCATCTTTCAGACCAGGTATATCTTCGTGTAAATATGCCAATCCTCTAGCCATAGTTTCTGCAATATGGCATAGTTCATTCCAAGAAACCACATTAGCCTTAAGAAAATCTGACAGTGAACCCTAAAGAAAAGAGCATGAGAAAAAAACTTAAGCTCCTGACAAAAACCATACATATATGGAACTTTTCAACCTACAAGAAGTTATTAAAAAAAAAAAAAAAGGTTGAAATTCCCTTCCAGTTCACATTAATAAACATTGAACCACAAAGGAAAAAGTGATCTTAAAAAATTTGTTATAAAAATAGTCAATTTCCCACAACTTAAACAGTAAAGTTCAAAAAGGACTATTTGAAAAACTAAAGTTATAGTAAAACTTTTTTTTTTTTTTTTAATTTTTTGTGGCCAACTCAGCCCACCCTGGGAGCAGGGCTGGCATAGCAGGTGGTGCCAGGGATTGAACCACGGTCCCTGTGTGTTTGCCTAAGCAAGCTTGCCTAAGCTTTACACCACTGAGCTATCTCGCCGGCCCCTACAGTAAAACATTTTTTGTTTGTCTTTTGTTTTTGTATTTTAGGGTCTACTGGGTGTTTAGGGTCTCACTACTAGATCTGACTTGTAGTGATCCACCTGTTCACAGCCTCCCAAGAGCTGGGATTACAAGCACACACCACCATGCCCAGTCTTAAAGCTTATTTTTTGAAAGTGAAAATACACTGACTTTAGAGATGCTACATGATACAACTAGAATAACACACAATATGAACAACCACTAATATAAACAATCTTCCCCCCAGAGATTACTTAACCACCCTTATAGTTAAGAATCAAGAGAAATTTAGGAGCCACTTATCAATGATGAAATTGATCATCAAAATAATACAGTTTATTATTTCATTTATGTTACTTTCAAACAACTGAGAGTTGAAAAAAAATAAAGAAAAACCAGCAAATGTGTTTTAGTGATAACAATCCTACAAGGCAGTGACAGAATAAAGATCACATACATTTTTTTGACTTTAGATTTGTCATTAATCTAGACTAAAACATTGTAAAACATGAAGTTCAGCCTGGAGAACTGATTCAAGAAATAAAAATAAGTCATACACAGTGAATTAAAAATAAGTACCGTCTATATGAAGTATTTACAAGAGACAATTACATAACAGAAAATCAGTATTTTCTACAGTAGTTACAGAAAAAGTTGCTGCCTTTACTCTTTAGTAAAATATGCTACTTTCTGAAGCAGTTAAGAGTTATTTGTATTTTAGATTAAATAATAATCAACTATAATAACACGCTATCTCCTGAAAAATAAGTCTGAGAGATTTACAGTTAATATTAGGGAGGTAGGCCAACTCTGATCTTACAAGTGAAAAAGTAGTTTTACCTTTTCATGAAATGCTGTAATTAGCCAAAGATCCACATCAACACTGGTGCCTCGTTTTTCTGCACCAATAAACTGTAGTATGTTTTCATGCTTCATTCCAGGCAAGCTATAGACTTCATATTCATTTTGCCATGACTGTTTGTCCTAAAGTTAAAAAGAAAGAATAAGAATATACTGAAATATACCATGTCTAGATTACTCAAGTGCAAAAGTAAAAAGAAAAAAATGAAAGCTAAATATTAAAAGGAAAAAAGGAACAAAGCTAAATATAAAAAGTCTTTTATTTTTTCCTGGTTTTTAATGAAAGAAAGCTCCAATAGGCAACAGTCCCATACTAAATGCCCCACCACCTATCCCGTCAGAACATACTTTTCTGGACTCTAGTTTATGAACAAGGGCATTCATCAGAAATGCTGCATTTCTGTATTGTACAATGGCAACAAATTCTGCTTACAAATATCACACTGTAGCTCCATCATAATGTGATGTTACTTCTATTACTATTCATCAGTTAGAATGACTATTTAAATAGGACTAACATAGTATTTCAGACTAACACAGTATCTCACATTCTTTTAAAACCACCATATATTTATTCCAGTCTGCAAGTGATGCATGTCTACCACATACTTGCTGATAAAAGATTAACTTATTTTCATGATGAAAAGGACAACAGAAGTGGCAGCACCCTACATGATGGTTAGGAAAACCTCTTTATCCAAACTAAGTTCAGTTCTTTATCTCTCACTAACCTCTGGCAAATTATATGATCATTAATTAGTTTTCTAATAAAATAAAATAGAGATTGTACTATCTCTTGCAGAGCTGCCATATTTGATGTGTACATGGGTATATATATCCAAGTAATACGGAAAGCACTCTTTCCTGTCACAATGACAGCATAAAATGAAGTATTTGCTACCACTGTTATTATTCTTAAGTTAATATCTAAATGTTTTTTACAAATTTTTAAGATTCTTGATAAAATGAAGTAGCTTCCTTGATGTTTTTTATGAGTCTTGGCATAACAGAATACACCCCTTTTGTGAGTACCTAACTATAAAGAATCTGCTCTGCTACTAAGCAGAGTAAAACTAAGCTTCTTCACAGGTGCCATCAGGTATGCCTCAGGAGACGTAAGAAGGCTAAAATCTACAAATAAGGTTAAAAAAAAAAAGTATATGATAGCTTTGAATTAAGAAAGATTTGATGTTTCAGCACAGCATCAAAGCTTGAATATAACCAAGGCCACGCTACCAAGATTATCATTCACAGGGGCAAATACGCAAGAGATGCATTATGAAGTCTGTTTCAGAAGCAGAACAGAAGATCAGCAGAGAAGGGTATAGATCAGGGTTTTATGAGAAGTCCAGCAACTTTTCAAAGAAAGATCATTCAAAGGACTCTTGATCAACTGCCTTTGAAAACTGATCAAACAAGAACTTTACTAATTATGTATGCACTCAAAAGTAGTACAAAAATGTATCAGTCTGGTAATATATCTCCAAATATCAATTCTAAAACAAAGTGTACTACACTCTTGCTCTTCTGTTTGCTTTCTCTGATAATCTCAAAGGGATAGTAAATCTTTCTTTCTTCTTTTTTTGGTGGAATCGGGGATTGACCTCAGGTCCTTGTGCTTGCCAAGTAAGCACTTATTCTACTGAGCCATCTCCCCGGCGCCTGGGATAGTAAATCTTAATCACTCAAACACTGTACTTGTTTTTTTAAAAACTGGAATCTTCAACTTAATCTTTCTGTAGAATTTTTATTGACAAAATATCATCTATATGTTCATTTATTATAATTCCAAGCATGACTGCTGCACTAATAACCTTCACAGACATGAAGGCAGATGTAAAGGGGCTGCTTTTCTAGCATCACCATGAGCCTGTGGCTTGCACTTCTAGACCATTTCTGAGTTATGCTGACTATGTAAGTTAAGCTCTTTGAATATAAAGTTAGATTAGCTAGCTGCAACAATCATACCTGGATTGGAAATATTTTGACAGCTACATATTCATTGAGCAACTGTGCTTTCCAGACACAACCGAATCTTCCCCTGGCTTTCACTTCTAGTAATTGTAGCGGCTTCAGACCTAGTAATGGAGAAGGTGGGGGTGGTCCTGGGTCCTACAGATAAATAACAATAACACTGTAAGTGAGCAGAATATGAAACACATCAATTCTGAAAATGAGAAAAAAGTGAGTATGCCAAAGAATCAATTGAAGAAACAGTAAACACATATGGATGACATTAACGTCAACCTTGCCAACCCTGAGTTTCTCAAACATTGCTAATTATCTTCAGTGATCACATGGCAGGCAATTTGATTTAAGAGTTTTCATACTGACTTTCACCAGTATTGTTACTTATATATAGCAGGAAGGGGGAAGAAAGACCATCTTTTTTATCCAGTCTTACTAATTTTTCCCATTAAGATTTTTGTGAACTTGAAGCACTAAGAGTATCTCATTGTTTGCATCTAATTTATACTTCATTAAAGGATAAGGATTTGAAAAGTACTAGAAAGAGAAAATTATGGCTATCTTCTCAAAGAATACTTCTAAGTCCACTGTTTTCTCTGATGACTATTTAATTTCAAGTATTTTCTTCATTAATCTCAGAAATACAAGCATCTATAAACACATTGCAGATACGTTAACTACAAAAGCACGTAAAAGAAACACTATAGCTACTGTGTTTGGTCTGTTCTCATTTTTCAACATATTAACTCATCTCTTTGATTATAATTATCTCTCGAAATTAATCTGAGCTAAAAATTATTTGTATTTTAAGGCTGACTGACCAAGAAAATACAAATAAAAATGCAGAAAAGTTGTGATCGGAGTGAATGTTATAAGTGAAAGAGAAATACACTATTATTACAGTAAATAGATTAAATACAGTTATAAATAGAAGTACAGAAAGGAGATTTATACAAATTAGGATAGCAACAAACCTGCACTGAAAACATCCTGACTATCTTAACCTACAGCAAAGCATAGAAAGCCTTCTGGAAAGCTCCAAGAGAAAAGAAAAACAAGTATTTCAGAGGCTGCATAAAAGGTTTTAATATACTTATTAAGAGGCAGAAGTAAAGTTTCTGTAGCAAAAGGAACAGGCATGATGGCAATGGCTTGCGCCTCAGTCCCATGCAATGAGTATGTCAACAAAGGCAATGCATCTCACTCTGCCCTTCTTCTCCACCGTTTTTTCATTTCGTCTTCTTATGCCTCAGACTACTATGGCTTAGGCATCATTTAGATCACTGGTGCCACTCTAGAGTTTGAAAAGTTTACATCTAACATTAGAAGGGCCCTTGATTGCAAGGTATTAAACAGGAAAAAGATGCAACTTCTAAAGTGATCTTTATAAAAGTTTGAGAATTCCTATTTTAAAACAAGACAAAATAGAAGACTTCCTGTGATTCATTTCAAATTCAGTTATTTATTTTAAAATGTCTACAAAAGTTGCTTTTCCTTCTCACATTCAAAACATGAAAGGTTATTGAAGCTGGGATGTTTCTGTTTAGCAGAGTGACAGGCCAAGGAGGTCAGGTATAAATCTTATAGGAAGGACAGGCTCTTGCAGCGTGGGGTCCAGCAACCTCTGGAGAGTGTCTATGAAATGTACCCTCCATTCCTTGTTCTGTACCTGACCATTTCTACATGCATTAAGAGATTCCAGTGACAGGACCATGCTGCTCATAGACCGGGAGGCAGGGGACGGTTGAAAACTACTTTCCCCACAGACAAAATCCAGCCCAAGTATTACTGTGTAACTGCACAAAGGAATAATTAAGCTAAGTAGAAAATGATACAAAGGCAGTATTTTCAAAGTAGGAATGCCAAAAACAAAGTATATACTAAAAAGTATATATGCCAAAATAATAGCTGAAAGCTGAAGATGGAAAAAAATAAAGTAGAAAAGTAAAAATGATTCTAAATGGAAACACTGAAAATTTGGTAATGCTGAAACACATCGTCTATTTTGTTTGAAAAGGGCCAATCATTTGGATATGATTCAATCTATAAAGCAAGATTTAGATGATTTAATACAAATCTTAAAAATTGTGACAATTTAAAATACAATTTTAGTATAATACTAGCTTTAAATCTAGAGAATGTACAATAATTTTCAACTTCTATGTTTAAGAAAAATAGAGAAATGTCTTTCAAATGCATAAACATGAAAGTTCTAACAACTTTCTAAGACTGCTCAGCAATTTTCTACTACCCGTATTTCAGAAGAAACCTTAGATCACCCTCCTAATAATACAATTACATTCAATATTGTAACTTTTTTTTTTATGTACTTGGTACAGGGTCTACAGGGTCTCGCTACATAGACTGGACTCATAGTGATTCTGTTTTCAGCCTCCCAAGTGCTGGATTACAGGCACACGCCACCAAGCCCAGTCTCAGCGCACCTGAGGGGTAGACTGGCACAGCAGGCCGGGGATTGAACTCAGGACCCTGCGACTGCCTAAGCAGGTGCTTTAGTCCACTGAGCTATCTGGCCAGCCCTTCAATATTGTATCTTAACAATCAGAAACACACTGTTGTCAAAATTACTTTAAAAAGAGAAAAAGCTTAAAAACAACACCGGATAATTTTCAAAGGCTAACAAAAGGTCCACAAAGGTACTTTCTTATAAAGTGTCAAAACTTTTAGAAATGTTTTTAAACAAATTTAAAATATTATTTAATACTTAAAGATTATTGGCTCAAAATGAGTAATTTTGCAGCAAAAATTGTAATTGCATGAGACCTGTAATGCTAATCAATGTAAGTTTTGCATGCTTCTTTAATGAAAAGTTGCTACAATGAAATTTTAAATGTACAGCAAAATATGTAGGTTTTATGAATAAGTAAATATATAATCTAAAAATACTAAAATATTAGAAATAAATTTGTTTATTTGTATCTCTATAGTAATTTATCCATAGAAAACCCTTTAATATTTGCTTCTGGAAATAAAGATCTATACCTTGAACACTTGGAGAAAAAATGCAAATGTAAACCTCATAAATGGGAGCAACATTCTGATCTCATTCACAAAATACAGCTTTGCTCTGACATAGAAAATCTATGTGGAGGAATAAACAGATCTCCTGAAAACTTTTCATGAATCTCCATTTCTCTTATAATATCCATGCTATTTTATAAAATGAAAAAGACATATACTAGAAATGCCTCTGGATTCTATTTCCTCTTATGGCTTAAAAGGTACCATGTTAAGAAGACATGCTGAAAAGCGTCCCCTATACTCCTATGTCATTAAATGTGGGGTGCTCTGAAGTTATCTACGATTGTTTTTAACTGTTTCTCAGTCTTCAGATTTAAGGGGGAATTCTAAGCTTATTATATAATCTTAAAGCCCCAGACAGTAAGAATCACTGAAAGTTATACTTTGAAAGTATTCATTTGCTAGTGATACCAAAGATAAAACTGAAACATTCATTGTGATTAAAATGTGATTAAAAGATTAATGTGCTATATCAGAAAGTCAGTTTTTATTAAATACAAGAACACACTGACATTTAAACCTACCAGACTATAAAATCAATAAAGAGCTTTTAAGGCCAACAAAGTCATTTGGTGCTCTGTAATAAGCTAAAATAGTTGTTTCTACATCCTACCTTATATAATTATGAATTTTAACAATCCTGTTAAACCAAAAGCTGTTACTTGGTCATCAATCATCTTTTTGTGTGGCGGTGGGGAGTCTATGTGACACACACGTATATAAATGATAAAGGATGCACAGTAGAGCAACAATAACAATAAAAATCTAAGGACCAAATGTTAAGTATGCATCCACAAAAAATTTCACAACCGTAAAACAAACATCAATGCATCTTACCTCTATCATTATATGAAAGGCGTGCTTGTGAAAAAAAAAAACACAGGCAAAAGAAATTACGATTCATATTCAGAATGAAATGAAAAATGACACAATAGTTACAAAGTGAAGGAAAGAGAGTAATGATTCAACTTTTAAGAGGTTGGCAGTGATCCAATGTACTATATTTTTAAAATGATAATTGAGAACACCTGCCTTATAGAGGAAAGTAATATAAAAATTAAACACATACACACACACAAACCCTTTGGATATTAGCTATCTGATGAGAGGTAAACAGAATTTTGACTCTACTGTAACTCCAATTTACCTGATCCTACGGGCTTCAAGCCAGGAAGTAAACAAAACTATGTCTTAAATATTCATTTTTTTCAAAGGTCCAAGAGTATACAATAAGTGATAAAGCTGAAGATACATGCTGAAACTATCTGTGAACACCAGAGGGCAGTATTGACTTCAAAAAGAACGGGGTAGCAGGCCTGAAGAAATTACGTAAAACTCAAGTCTGTAGACATACCATACTCTCCTGACAGTGCTCTAGAATGTCTTACTTCTATTGAGTCAACTGCTTCACTTCCCTTTCACAGGACACAGTAGAATCACAGGGTCAGACAGAACAGTATTTCTAGGTGGCTATGTGAGTGTGCACAACATAAATAACACACTGGTAAGAAAGTGAGAAGGGAGGGGAACACAGCAGAATTAAGGAAACACAGTAACAGATCAGGCCTTCTGTTAACCTACTTGCCAACTACATCACACGAAAAGCGAAATCTTACTACAATGCAACTGAAGTTATTTAATGCTCACTTTTCACCTAAGTATATGCCAGCAGTTCAAAGCATGATTTTGGAATAATACTAACTGAATTTAGGAAATGTGCCACTGAATAAGCATTGCGGGCCTGGGGAAGGTGCATCTCCACACAGTTCTCATAGTCTGAGGACATTCCGATACTGACAGAAAACAAGATTTTTATTTTTCCTATCATTCCATAATTTCCAGCATTTCTCCAGTGGGTCTATAGAGATCAATAGCACTTAGAAAATGGAATCAACAGCTCACTTATCTATACCAGTTGTTTAAGTAGCTTCTCTTCATTTGCGATTTTCTTCCTAGAGTAGTAAGTCAGGACTACATTTTCATCCAAAAGGCTGAGTTTATTTTACTATCAAAGTACCTTATCAGTATTCCAGAGTAAAATTCATTATTTGAAAGAAATGCTTGCTAACTGATGAAACAGGGATCAAGGATCACTTGGATCT